AAATATGCGCATATAATTTTGAAAAACTGACCACTATGACATGAAATGTTTTACTATGTGAGACACTTAAATTATAAAATAGTGTTTGTGTTGAAAAAAGTATTTTGCTTGTTGTCGCAAGAAATATGAATATTATTATTATTATTATCAATTTTATTATGTAATAAAATAATTGTTATTATTATTTATTGTTAATTTGGACAGGTTGAAAGGAATATAGACTTGGTTTATGGTGGTGGAAGCATAGGGTTGATGGGCCTTGTCTCTCAAGCTGTTTATGATGGGGGCCGCCACGTGTTAGGGTAATTACTCTTCCCATCAATATATTTTTTTTTAAAAAAAAAAAATTACTGGAATTTTGCTGAATATATTTCCTATATTTTAATTGTTTTTTGTCATTATCCTAATTAAAAAATTTAATTGTTTTTATGTAGGGTGATTCCAACAACTCTAATGCCTAGAGAGGTAATTAAATCAGTACCTTTCAAACTTATTACGAGATAACTTTGAAAACTACACACGAAACTTCTTTAACCTATCACAAGAGTTTTCCCAATTTTATTTCAAAGTTCAAAAAGAAAAACAAATCTCCTTGAAGTACTAAAACTACAAAGTACAAACAAGAAACTGCCAAGATTAGTCTTTTAATTAATTGAAAGCTCTTCAGGGGGGTATCTGTAACATGTGCATCAATCTCTTTGGTCTTTCATAAAGGTCAAAAGAGATTGCAAGAAAAAGAATAATAAAATAATAATAATAATAATAATATAACTGCATTTTTAACTGTTAATGGTCGAATTTTCTCTAACACGGATAAAAATATTCATATTTTTTAATAGATATGCATAATTTTATATTTAAATGTCATATTAAAAAAACAACATAATCAGAAGTATGACTTTTCATAACATATATGCGCAATTTTGTTAACAAAGTATGACGTATCAACTTGTCCAAAGTTTAGAATGACTAAATACAATAATTTGTGACTAAGAAAAAAAAAAAAAGTATAGTAAGATAGGGTCAAAAATGTAATTTCAGATAACGGGAGAGCCCGTTGGAGAAGTGAGAGCAGTTTCTGGTATGCATCAGAGAAAAGCAGAGATGGCTAGGCAAGCTGATGCATTCATAGCCTTACCTGGTAAATTTTATTTTATAAGAAATAAATTATTCTATTTCTCTAAATTGTCAATATTACAATTTAATTATTGTACTACAACTTAATTCCCCCAATTTTATTTTATGTTTGAAACAAATTTGTAGGTGGGTATGGTACATTGGAGGAGCTGTTAGAGGTCATAACTTGGGCTCAGCTTGGAATTCATGAAAAACCGGTAAAAAATAAAAATGTCGAAATATCTTTATTTGTTTAGTTGAAATGTATAATTTTATAAATGTTCCTTTTT